TGGGTCCGCGCTCCCCTCACCGCCGAGAGAGGCAGGAGCCCGCGCCGCAGGCGCCCGCGGGGCGGGAGCGGGAGCGGAGCCCTGCGCTGGGGCGCGGCACGGTGGTGCTGAACGGACAGCTCCGCGCGCCTCTGCCCGGGGAGCGGCCGCCGCCCCAGGCTCGGGAGATCCCGCCGCCGCCGCTGCTACTCTGCGTTCCTCCTGCGCGTCACCGCGACCCCCTTGCTCCCCCGGCTCCGCGCCAACACCTTTCCCACCCCCACCCATACGCCGGTGACAGCTGTTATTGCTACCACCACCAGGGTGCCGGCAGGGGGCTGCCTACCGTGACCTGGTCCCGCCGGCTCTGGCGGGAGCCGGGCTGGGGAATGAGGGGCAGCTAGTGCGTGTCTGGGGGTAGGGCAGGACCAGAGAAACTCCGGATCTCCCTTTTTAGGAACCTGAAATAAAGTTTCACGAAGCCCGGGGGTGGGGTTGTTGGGGATCGGGAGCTGAAGGGAAGAAGAGGGGGCAGGAAAGCCTAAGGTCGAGTGCGCGGGCCGGGAGCTCAGGCCCCACCTGCAAGGGAGGAAGTCATGGAGTTCTGTGCAGGAGCTCCGTGTGGGCATCGTGTGTGCATAGGCCAGTGTGGTGTGTGGACCGTGGGGGAATGCACGGAGCTGTGTGTGTGTGTGTGTGTAGTCTGAGGACGATAGGAATTTTCAGTGTCTGTGCGGTGTTGATAAAAATGAGTCCTCTGATGGGTGGGAAGATGTATGCAGTGTGTCAATTCAGCAGGAACCTAGGACATGTGTCAGGGCATGTGCATATGTAATGGGGGACTGCGTGCTGTGCGTACAGTGTGCCCTATACAGTGTAGTGTTCAGTGGAACTGTAACAGGGTCAAGTGCTTGTGTAATATATTGAAAGCTGTGTGCATGCTAACACAGTGGGAAATGTGAGGTTCAAGCACAGCATAGATGTGCTCAGTATCCGTGTCCCCACTCCCAAGAAGACTTGTGGTCCAGATCTGAGCTCTTGGTCTCATAGGATTGTTCTTAAGGCCCTGACTGCTGGGCTGAGCTAAGTGGACCCACAGTCTCTGGGGAGCCCCCTCCTTTCAGCCTCAGCCCTTTTGCGTGGTCCCCATTTGCAAAGACTATAGAGTACTATGAGGTGTGTGAATTTAGCAGGGAGCTAGTGCCTTCATGTCATGGTCAGAAGTCCTGGGAAAAAGCTTGCAGGGTGGCTCTGGACTCACAGAGCAGCCACCACAGCCACAGTGGGAAGCACATCTCTTCTTTACACAGTGCTGGCAATGTCACTTCAGCTTGAGAGGTGCTCTGTGTAGCTCTAGAGTGCCTCGGATCTGGCTTCATGTGGGGGCTCTTGGCTCCAAGCCTGACCCCTTCCTGTGCCTGCCACTTGCCTCTGGCATGTGTGTGGGTGTGTTGCCAGCGGAGAGGCCTCCACACCCATGACCCTGCAGGCATCTGCAAGTGCGGGGGATTCCAGGGAGGCAGCCACATGTGGGAGGGAGAAGAGGACAGTGAGGGCCACATAAGCTTTTTTTTCTTGTGTTTGATGCTAGAAGGGTATGTTGGGGGGGCTGCTATTTACTGTCTTTGTCTCCACCTCTGTTTCTTTCAGGATCTGTGTTTTGGAGCATACTCACCTCATCCTCTATCTAGGTCTACTGGATCTAGCATATGAAGTCTGTGCTCCCCCACACCCGGCTGTGCTACAGTCTGGAAGCCCCTGGTCCCCCATCCCCTCCACATGCGTGCTGCTGAGAGTGTGCCAGCCCTTGCTGAGGGTGTGTGTTTAAGTGCCTGTGTAGTCACTGTGCTGCTGCCTCCTTCACTCTTTTTCAGTTCCCTTCCACACCTAGGGGTGGTGGTGACTGTGGGGTCTTCTTCAGCAGTGTCACCTGGGGACAGCCTTCGTGGGGCCTGTGGCTTTCTCTAGCTCTCACCCCAGTCCTCTCACTTTGGGCTGCCTGCCTTCTGGACACTCCAAAGCTCACAGCCCCTTTGCTTCACCAGCACGGGTCTGTGTGGCTTCTGCTACATGTCACCATTCCCAGCCACTCCTGTTCCCTCAGCCCCAGCTCCTGACTCTTCTGGTTTAGCTCAATGCATAAATCACCTTTCCCTCCTCCATTTGGAGGGTCCCTCCTCCTCGACACGCTTGGGTTTGATGACTGGGGTTTTCCTCCTCCCCTGCTCTATCCGCCGGCCTCCTTCTGTTCTTGTCTGTTTTTGTTCTGGCTCCTTCCTTTGTGGTCATAGGAGTGTTTGCCCACGCCACCAGAGCCCCTCCGCCTCTGTCTCTCTTTGTTTCTCCCTCACCCGCAGCCACCCCGCCAGCAGCCTGCCTGGGCCCCTGGGCTCTCCCTGCTCCCATCTCTCTAACAGGGGCCACTCGTGCCCCTCTCAGCTCTGCCCCCACCCCCGCCAGCCCCCTCGTCCCCCCACCTTTCCTGTCGCCCTCCCTTTCTCCCGCTCTCCTTCCCCCTTGTCTCTTTCCCCAGCTGAGAGAGCTGTGCCCACATGCCCCCCGCTGCACTGGGGCCCCGCGTCTGTACCTGCCCTTTGATAGCTTTTCCTGTGAGTCCGGGGTTGGAGATAAGCCCCACACCCACCTTTTTTTGAATAGCAAAGTGAACTTGGAGCCTGCAGGGAAAGCCTGAGTTTGGGACACAGCAGTTATTTCTTGGAAAGGCTGAGGCAGAAGCTCTGTGGGTCTGACAGATGCCTTTGCAGAGGGTTAAGTGTATGTGACAGGCAGAGCCACTTGTTTATTTCCCAGTCACTGCGCTGAAGAGAAATGGAGCCATCTCCCTCCTTCTGTACCGGGGAAGCTGGCTTTGTTGATGGTTTATTTAGAGGTCTGAGCCCTGATCTTAAAATACAGCCACCTGCTCCTGTGGACTGTGGACTGGCCTGTAACGCTGGGGAGATCGTGAGGGGGCAGAGGGATGGGGGAGAGTCACCTTGGGAAAGGAGACAAAGGGGCCCCAGGTGGTGGCCCAGATCCTTGCACCTGGGTGACTGTTATCTCTGCCTCCCCTGCCAACGCTCAAGTCTCAGCTGAGCCCACACATCAGACTCAGCTTTATTCTCCTGACGGGATGAGGGCTGCACCGGTGGCTTGGCTGAGGGAGCCAGGCTGCCTGACCTACGTTCCCCCTGCAGGGAAGAGCTGAGCCCTCATCCTTCCCCTGGGGTGTGAGCACAGGGGTGACTGCCACCCGGATGGAGTGGACTGTTTACCTGGGTCCATCCTGCTCCCCACCAGCCATCCTCACCATGGCAGCCAGAGTGTCTTTTACGAACACAAACCAGGTCATGTCTTTCCTTCTGAAAACCTTCCAGGAGCTTCCCACTGTACTGAGAAAGAAATCCCCTTCCTCGCCACAGCTCCGAGACCCTCCACGCTGCACCCCTGCCCACCTCCCAGATGTCTGCTCCATCGGCTGTGCTCCAGCCTGCACCTTCACTCCCTGCACAGGGCCTTTGCACCTATGTTCTCCTGCTTGTCATGGCAGCTTCAAGTGGCAGTCTTCCTCTTGTCACTCAGGTCTCCATTTAAATGTCACCTCCTCAGAGAGGCCTGACTGCCCAGTCTAAACTTGGTCCCTGAGTCACTCTCTATCATGGCTGTCATAACAATTACATTAAACAGTTATTAAATACATGATTGAATGATGATGCTTCAACTGCTATCTTAAGTTATTCTGTGCCAGCCAGAGTCTTGGCCCCACCTCTTCTCCCTCCTGGTGGATCAAGAAGAGATCTGGAGGGGGACAGGGTGCTGTGCCTGAGACTGTGGTCCGGAGCCCCCAGGCTCTGGGGCGTTCTCCTGAGCAATTGATCAGCCTAGAGGATCTCATCCCTAGCTGCTCAATGGAATTGCCTGGGGAGCTTTTAAAATAGCCAATGCTCTCGATGCCTTGGGCCTCACACCAGACCAATTAAATCAGAATCTTCATTGTAGGGCTCACAGTTTCCTAAAGCTCCCTAAGTGATCCCAGTGTGGAGGCAAGGCTGAGAACCCGAGCAGCCTGTCTCGGGGGTGTGGATCCAGGGTTGTGTGCCTGTCAGTCCACAGCCAGTGGTCAGCATCAAGGGCAGGGGCTGGGTGTCACTCAGCAGTGCCCACCCACAGTGGGAGCAGGAGAAAGGCTCCCCCAGTCCCACCTCCCAAAGGGCTCCCTGGGGCTGCTCCTCTCGGAATCCTTTACCTTGGAGAAAAATCGTGATTAGGAGAAGTCACAGTTTCTTCTCCCTCTTGGATGGGGATGAGCTCCTGAGCCTTTACTGTGCC